AACTAAAACAGGGAAATGAAACCAAAGATGAACATCTAGAAGTGGAAACAGACCATGTCCCAGGCTTGTTCAACTGAGGTGGCACCCAGATATGGGATGAGAATTTAAAATCCAGATCTAGAAATGACAGTCACTGTTCTGATCAAAGGAACTTGGAGTCATATAGATCAAGCAGGCAGACGGCAGCCAAGCATCTATCATAAGGGAGCATCAGGGATAATACTGATTCAGGGAAGAAACAACCAGCTGATCACTCATGGCACATAACGAATTTACCGAATGCTCAAAAACTCCTCCTCCCCAAACATACTCAAATAACAATCTGAAGAAAATAAAAAATTCCAACCACAGTAGGACTACAGGTCCTCCTTTAATTACACGTTTCTGCATTCAAACAAAAGAAGAGCTTGGAGATTATCATTTAAAAGCAGTGCAGGGAAAAGGGGGAAGGGAGAAGAACAGAGCCTTGTAGAAATTTGCTAGCAAACACACAGGAAGATGCACATTCATAGGTTTAAATGAGGACTCTAAAGAATCGAATGCAGCTGTGCATAAAGCAACTGCAAAGCTGAAGAGACACAACTGAATTTCTTCAATGCAAGAATTTCTGATTAGTTAATATTCCTTTAAGAAACCTACAATCTTAATAGGCCCACAAAGGCTTAAAAATGCAGCGGGGAACCACCAATCTTACATTTTATGACAACCTTGGAGGACAAGCTGTTCTTATATAGATCTATTAAGTGGTTACAAGAGAGAGATTTTGAGAACTACTTTAAAATGAGATTTTCTCCTCACTTCCTGAAGTGGAACATTCACCATTACCTCTGAAAACATCATCTGTTTTTAAACCTGAGCAATAATTTCTAGTAGTCTACTAGGACTACAAAGCAACTGTGCATTATTGAAGACTTGGCAGTTAAATACAGAAAGCAAGTTGTGTTTCTCTGTAGAGTTAAACTTGAATCAAACAACATTTTTCTTTTTATCCCAGGGAACCTGAGGTACATATACTTGTGTTTAATTTTTTAAGATTTGACTTGCTGGGTTCATGCTTTGCCTGCTTTGGTAACTTGAACAAGTAACTCAGCTGTAATTTGTGCAAAACTTTAAGAATTTCAGTTATTCTTCTCAAATATACAGATAAATTTAGCTGGTGTCCTGGGTTCAGCTGTCACAGTTATTTTTCTCCTTCCCAGTAGCTGGTGCAGTACCATGTCTCAGCTTCAGTCTGAGAACAATGCTGATAGAAACAACTAAAACATCCATGTGTTAGGTAATGCTTACCCTGATCAAGGACTTCTCAGTCTCATGCTCTGCCAGGGAGAAGGGGCACAGGAAGCCAGGAGGAAGCAGAGGCAGGACACCTGACCCAAACTGGCCAAAGGGCTATTCCATACCACAGCACGTCATGCCCAGTATAGAAACTGGGGGGAGTTACCCGGAAGGCCCAGATCGCTGCTCGGGTCGGGCTGGGTATCAGTCGGCAGGTGGTGAGCGGTTGTGTCCTCTCCCCTTGTTATTCCTCTTATCGTTATTATTGGTAGCAGTAGTGGTTTGTATTATACCTTAGTTACTGGAGAGCTGTTATCTCAACCTGTGGGAGTTACATTCCTCCGATTCTGCTCCCCATCCCTCCGGGAGCGGGGGGAGGAAGGAAAAGGGGGGGAGTGAGCGAGCGGCTGCGTGGTTCTGAGTTGTCAGCTGGGCTTGAACCATGACACTATGATAATTAAGATAATCACATTAGATACCACAGGAGGGAATGTAAAAATAATGGACAACGTATTTCTTTAAAAATGGAGGCACAAACAGCCTACACATTCATTTAAATTATGCAGTATTCCACTCAATCAGGTAAAAAAATTACATGGTCAATAAATGGATATTTTATTAAACCTGCTTGATAGTTGAAAATATTTTAATTTGAAACAGAAATTGGACAATGGAAAAAATTTAAAACTTCTAAGAAACAGAAATTTTAGGTATGTCCATGTGTTTGGAGACACCTTTACAAACCAGGTAGGAGAAACCAAGTCTAGTGGTTTCCTACAAATAAGCTAAAAAGTAGAAGTCTGATTTTACTACTCAGTTTCACCCCATTTAATCCACTACAAATACCACCACATCCATAAATGTAAGTAAATAAGCAGCAGTGCTTCATTCCTACTTTCACTTAAAATAAAGAGAGCCTAATAATGCACATATGCGTAATTCATTACACTTCCAGCTTGGCCTCTTACATGTTCTGCTTCTAGTCCTTCTGAGCAGACCCAGACCATTCCCTCCTCCCACCACTACATTGCAGTTATTTCCTCTTCCATGCTGTCTAGATGGGAAATGTAATTTGGAAGGATGAAAAGAAAGAAGACTGCATTCCCAGTCATCCTGTTATGGAAAGGGCAGAGCCAGAAGCACAGAAAGCCTGTGTGGCTGGGGTACGTCTAGTATGGACAGAAACATAGTACAAATCAACAAAAGAACTTAGTTTTCCAAACAGCATTTTGCCAGAAGTTTGTAACTTGATCAAATTTAGGTCAAACCCAGCAAAAGGCAACTCCATGTTGCTTTAAAATCTGTTTAAAATCAGAAAAAGGAAAAATAAGATTTTTTCTTCTAAATCTCTTTTCTAACTTTTCTAAATTTAAATCAGAAGCTTACCAAAACAAATTCAACTGGCATTAAAAGGTCATCTTCAGTCTAAATTTTGATAAAACTACAAATACTGGAAAGACACATTTTCGTAAGGCTTGGTAACAGGCAGAGGTGCAAGTACCATAAATAAGGATGTTTCGGTCTCATTAAGGGATAGCTGGCCTTTCATACTGTCTACAAAGAAAGACAGAACTTCATACAAGTAAGATAAGACATCTTCAGACAGACCTCTACCGTGAGAGACAGAATAATGGTACCATGATACAGAGACATCAAGCACGATGAAAACATTTATCTTAGTTTAACCTGAAAGTACATTTCCTGATGTTTACATTTTTCTATGAAACTTTACAATTCTATTAATATTAAAGAAATTTATAATAAATAAATCAGTAAAAATAGGATATCTAAAGTTCCATAATTTTTCAGGTCCTATTTTGTTGGTTACTTACTATACCTACAGAAAAAGCAGTTTCTAAAACTAGACAGCAATATAGATTTCCCTGTCTGTATCTAAGTTTCTACACATGTGTGCATATAATCTTACAAATCAGGTAATGAAATGTTTGGGAGTGTAACTGGTTTCTATCACACTGCTTGGTTTTCCAGTCTTCTTACTGTCTAAATGTTTTGCCAGTCAGATTTGTTTTTAAAGGTAGGTCATCTTTCTAAATTTAAGACATAGGAACTATAAGATTAAACATTTATTCAAAACAGACAAATACTCCAGAGAGTTACTTAATGGAAGCTACTACGCACTTGCTGGCTTTTAAATGTTCTAAAGCGTTCATGAGTTTTACTTGGAAATGGATGGTCGAGGTGAGCAGTTTAAGTTTATATCAATAACAATTATACAAAAACTATGGCATAAGACAGTACATTCTGCTATCTGTAGTATGCTAAGTAAACATTGCTTGAAATAAACAGAAAGAAAGAATTTTTATCCTATGATAAGCTTCAACATTAACCCTTTTTCTTCTAATCACCCACAAAAACTGAACTTTAAGTGGAAAGGTTGCTGTTGGTGTTCACATTCCACTTTTTTTTTTCCTAAAACGGCTTAGCAGGGTTTAAGCAGTATCTTCATATGCATACAACATACTAAAATTAAATTCAAATCTGAGGACTTACGTAAAGACAAACACAAAAAGCAGGCCAAAAGAAGTACTTTTTTAAATAAAAAACACACAGTACAAGTAAAAGAGAAAGCTGAAGACAAATTCATATAAAAATCAGTATTTATGTAAAAAAATAATGCACTGCATATTGTAAAATCAGTCAATAACAGTATTCACCTTCACACAGATTTCTAGATTTTCAGACTTCAAAAGGTGACACAGCAAGGAAAAGAGACCGTAATTACATGTGAGGCAGACTGCTTCCTAGGTTCCATCCCAGAAATTTACACCCTGGGCCAGCAGGGAGATTAGGAGCAGAATATAAACTCTGCTTAAAATGGAGTGTGTTTTGTACTGCTAAAGCATTCGTCCAGCTCACATGGATCTGGGAGTCAGAGCCAGCCCACCTTTGACAAGGAAAGAGCCACAAAAATTAAGCTTCAAAAATGGGGTTGGGATGAAGGTGCAAGTCAATGAGTGGATCCTCCAAGTTCAACACACGGGAATTTTTCTGGAATCCAAAAACTCACTTTATGAAGACTTCATCTCAGTTAGACCAGTTATCCAAGTTCAAATATACTTTACAAATACACTTCATACCACGCAAGTTTAAATATTTTACTGTAACACTAGAACTCGGCATTTTTCTTCATGTTTCTTCTCTGAAAAAAGAAAGTTTGTACTAGATAAAACCTTTTTTTTTCCACTAAGAAAATTTAAGAAACTAAAGAAAGCCTAATCCCTTGCCTGTTGTAAATCACTATCACCCTACTGACAGTAATGCATTCACTTAGTTGAGGGTTTGCCCCAAAACTATTTTAAAGCCATGTTATTAAAAAATATGGTAACAGGATATATTCTAAGAAAACCATCTAATACACAGTCTGATGAAGCATCAGAACTCTTATTACAGCTCTTCACTTTTCAGTACTAAATACTCCATAATAATCATGACATAATAATTCGTAGTAAGGAAATACAACACCTTTTCACTGGTGTTTTTTTCCCTACTTCCAAAATGCCCTATAAAGCTGCAAAACCATGTAATTTTTAAAAAGTATTGTAAGACAGACAACTTCAAACCAAATTTTTTGCTAAAAAAAAAAAAAAAACCACCAAAACAAAAAACCAAAAACAAACAAAAAAAAACCACCCCAAAAAACACCAATCCTCAACTCTGCTCTATCTTTTGACCATGCTGAAACAAATGCCATACATTAAAAAGTCTCTGCATCTACAGACAGAGAAAACTAGTATTACATACTGGTATTCATTTCTCAGAAAATCGTATTTATAGTGTGCAGTTTACGTCTAATATATGCGACACGATTGTCAAAACAGTACTTCAACATGTAAGAGATGAATACATAAAGGCACACACAGATTGTCAATTATTATATCACATTTCTTTGAAAAGAGTGTTTTCTGCACTTGTAAACAATTTTGTTTACATAAAGGCTTACACCTTTAAAGTGAGGTTAGTGCTGCTGCCTCAGTTATTGCTACATTCACAGTTTAGCAGAATTTTAGGCAATGAGGTACACTCCCAAATAGAACCATCTTCATTTCTTCTTCGTTCATTTGATCATTAGGTAACTGAATTATAGACTAAAATTGACCGTGGAAGCCAGTAACACCTAAATCATTGTATCAAAGATAAACATTAGCAGTGATTAAACTTCAAAAGAGCAAAAAGTCACCTTTGCAGAAAAAAGTTCCTGTTCTTCATTACAAGAATATTTTCTTCATTTTTATGTATGCTAGTAAACTTTTATCTGGACACAGCGAGAGCCAATTCAAGCCATATTAGAATTTTTGCACCTTTTGAGAAGTACGTTAATTCAGTCTCTTGATTTAACAGCTTGAAGTAAAATCACCTTCCCTTTGATCTTCTGGCATAGAAGTCTCTTATGCTTTTTGTCAGCTGCTTTATGAACACTTTGTATACTCTTCCACAGTATGTATGCACGGTTTTCCGTAATTCCAGTTCTAGGGGCTGCAACAGGGAATGAACCAGATCATCTCCAAATGAATACTGCAAGGAATTTAAGAAAAGAAGATTTAAGGTCAACAGAACAGAGAAGAGTGCCATTATTCAGAGGGTTTTAAAAAGTTTTATAAAAATGCCTCTGAACATTGTATTTGCTTTCTAAAGGTTTATTAAATATATTCAAGGTTTCAGCTTCTTGAATGCAATATTTGAAAAACCCCTCTAAATTACGGAAATAATCTCTAATGCTTTCAATAACTCTAACAAGTGAGATTATTTTTTTGTTTTTAAATCTAAGCAAATGAAGATACCCAGAGAGACCAGGAGGACATTTGAAGTTATCTTATTAAATTAAAAATTTACAGATCTAAAATGATTTCTGGTAATTTATTTGTTAAACAGTAACTTTCTTGAATGACAGATAACTTTTAAGGAATACAATTCTCATCAAATTGTAATGAAACAACAGTATGAAAAGTGGTACTACTGAAGTTTCATTAAACTGAATGATGGTTGAACACATACTATGTTTAACAGGGGGATGAAATAAAGAAGTAATTAATTCAACAGTACAATAATTTTTATAAACAAATGATAAGCTTAACCAGCTTTTCAAAGTAACGTAATTTTGTTCATCTTATTACCACCGAATCAGCAGCGTTTTACACATTTTCTCTGTCATATTCATAAACCAAATGGGATAATAAATAAAAAGAAATAATTTTTTCTTCTGTTTTTGACAATGCTCAAAGGAAACAAAGAAATCATATTTTTATGGAAACATATTCACTTTCCCTGCAATGTATTCTCAGACCCCCAAAAGCACTTTTCTTCATTTTTATATCCATACGACAACATGTAATAAAGCACCATTAAAATATACTATTGATTTTTGAAGGTTATACACACACGATAGCCTGCTACATTAAAAAGTGCATCAGTGCTAAATTTTACAGCTCTTCAGCAAGTATACTGATGCAGTGATAAATAGTTTATTAGATGCCTTATTTGCAGAATGAAAAGAAGTCATTGTGCTTAATATTTAAAGGAACAGCAACACATTAATACACAATCTCTAGAAAAGGTCAAAACACACTATAAAAAAAGATTTTTCTACAATCCAAATCTAGCTACACTTAATGTTTAAATGTTGCCATGAATACATGCAAACTATGGGAAGAGGGGGGGGGGGGGGGCCTGCATTTTAAAGTCTCCAGAAGAATGAAGCTTCTAGCAATCTCCAAATGCTCATACAAGCTTCTTACCAGATGTATTGATTAAGGGAATGAGAATAAAGCCTTTTAAGTAGACATTGACAGCTACAGGAAATATTTTAGAATCCTAACATACACATAGTCTACACTGTGCTTCAGAACACGCTCACCACAAAAAGAATACACTGGAATTCTACCCAAGCAGTAAATGAAAAGCCCCTGAAACACTTAACATCACTTAAGAGAGAAAGAAATTACTTTGTTGCAATCAAGGAATCAACAAAACCTACAAAATACATGCAGCACTGTAGATAAAATAGACAAAAAAAATAGACTTTTCACACATACAATGTTGAAAGCACTTACATTTTTTATTGCTTCATAGACAGCCCTAAAAGTCGGCTGTTTATCATCATGGTAAACACCTCTGTTTCCATGAAGAATAAATATACCCTCTTCTTCGGCTTCCTTACAATTGCTTCCATAGATGCAGTGGTCAGGGCGATAATTCCATTGGCAAGGGAAGACATAAAGACTTTCTATGTGGAAAAATAAGAACTCTGAATTAAGTATCAAAATAATTTCAGGAAATACAATATTTTTTTTTTTCTTAGAGCTGCTTCGTAATTTCTCTACAGTTATTTCAAAATCTAACAGCTAATTACACTCTAGCAATCTCCAATGCTGTCTAAGTAAACACTTTCAGAAAACAAAGCAGCAACAAGTCCCTTGAATACTTTTACGAGAAGCCTGCTAAAAGAGCATTTTCCATCATTTTTTAACATCTTAGAAAAGATCAACTTTGTAATGTTTGACTTTGAATCAATGTGGATTTACCTGGATTGTGGAAAAACATAATGTTTAATAGGTCCTGATCACCCCAGGTTATGTTCAACTTGTATTTCTTCAGCAGTGGCATAAGAATTTCTCCCCACTGTAACCGGACTGGTGTCATATCATTCTATTAAACAAAAAGTAAAATGACACACATTCAGGACAATTACTCCTATTAAGATGGAAATGCCCTACAGAATTGCAGTAATATGCTTTTCAAAATTACAAATCTCAAATGCATATATGATTTCTTCCTTTTAAACAAATTCGCACATCTAAGGAAAATAGTTACAGGCATTTCCAGTATGTTTTCCCTCTCAATTACTGTAAGGAAAATTATACGCATCTCTTGGTTCTATTTAACTGCCACATTAATTTTTTGTCTCCAAGATTTCCCTCAAACATTTTGAACCAGGAGTGCTAGGAAATAGCAATGGTTTTTTACTCAGCAGTAGGATCTAACAAAAAACCTGAATTTAAGTGATGCATGTAAGTAGCTGAGCACATTTCATGCAATTTCTCTATCACAGAGTGCTAATACACACAGGTTTTAAAGTTAACTTCAAAAATTCAAAACAGATCAATATAAAATTAATTATTCAATAGTTTCAAACACATACAGCTGAAAAATACTGGCTACAAAGTGGTGTACAAAAAACAACAGAAATCCTTCGTTTTCAAAAGAACTTTCATTGAGTTGAACCGATTTTCTTAGTTACTGACCTTGAACTTCCACAGCAAAGGCATAACTTCTCATTAGCAAAAGGCAGTAACACTCTAAATCAACCACTGTTACTCAATTCACAAATTCTTGATTAAGTAAAATCACTTCAAAGGGAAAGGAGAAAGCTCTTCTGAGGTTTTGGCTGAGGAGGTGCTACCTGGAATAAGCTGGCCTACCCTGAACTCCGCATTACCAAAGGTGTTACCGTCTGTAGCGTAACAAGGTTACACATTCTAAAGCTAATTTCTCATCTCTACACCACATATAAACTCAACTAGAACAGAAAAGGAGCAAGGCTGCTCACTCTGTACCTCCTACATCAGTTGGGAGAGTGAGGATGGAGTAACAGTAAGTCCCAAAGAGAGAAAATTCCTGAACCATTACAGGATAGTACCCTTGATGCTTTCCAACCAAGATGGAATAAATAAATAAATAAAATTAGATCTCCAGTATGGTTTGGGATATGTACACAGAAACATCATGTTAATGTTGTTAACATGTTATACATGTTAAGAAACAGAAAAGATTACCAGGCACAAAATAGTCAGTTTAGAACTATAGAATTTTAGAATTCTTTAGAATTCTCAGGGCTTGCCACTGACAAACTAGAAAGTAAAAAAAATAGCAATTTGGTTTTTACTCTTTCC